GGGAGGATGAAGAAGAGGTGAGGAGCCACCCCACATCCCGGCGCCAGTTGGAACGTTTGCACCAAACTTTCAGGACGACGCTCCTGATGTGCACGGCGGCACTGCCACAGTTTGGCAACCTGAAAGTCACCAAGGCGGAGCTGGACGATTGGTATGACTGGTTCTATGGGGAGGACATCGCTGGCAGAAAGCCTCCTTCGAGTGACACCACCTTGCTGTTTGCAGAGCGCAATGCGTGGAGGAAGATCCACGAGATGGTGCAGCAGGGCACCACCCTCTCCGATGCCCTCAAGAATATCAGGGGCGACTTCCTCTTCTGGCAACGGGAGGTGCTCAACAGGGCGCCGGAGAAGGGTAAGAACAAGGGCAAGGCACCTAAGGTATGGCAGACTCAGTGGGAGAAGCCGAAGAAGGGGGGGAAAGGCGCATGGCCCTCGGGGCCGACCAGGTCCAAGCCAAAGGGCAAGGGCGGCAAAGGGAAGTCCCCCAACTCCCCCTCGGTTCCATGGCCGCACCACTGGGCTTTCAAGAATCCCAAAGGGGTGGCGTACTGCAGAGATCATCACCTCCACAACAAGTGTTCGGGATCGTGCGGCCGTTCCCACAACTGCCCGGTCAGGAAGGATGGGTGGGTGTGTGATGCCCCCCCATCGAAGCATGCTCCACAGGCATGCCCTCACCTTCCCAAGTGACAGGAGGCCACCCAGGGTGCCATAGGCCCCGTGGCTTCCCGGTCTCAGTTGGGATCACAGGCCACCAGTGCGAGAGTGCACACAGAGGGGGAGAGCCAGCCCCACCAGAGCCACAGCGGATGGCAGACAGAGCGGGGGAGGCCAGGACGGCCTCAGATGGGAGGGGACTTCTCCAGGGTGCCACCGGCCCCGGAAGCCCCTCCACCGAAGAAGAGGAGTGGGTAGACCCCCCAGAGAGACCCAGAGGTGAGGATCCGCCCAGCAAGGGGCGCTCCAAGGGCGGGAAGAACCGCCAGGGCAAGCATCATGCCCGGGGACAGATGACGGGGGGATCAGACAAAGGTAGCACGGAATCCCTAGGGGGGGCAAGCCCCACCTTCCCATGGATGCAGGACATCCCGGAAAGACTGAGGCTCAGACTGGGGTGGACGCCGAGGCCAGTGCCGGGGTCTTCAAAGCCGTCCCTCATCCTGCTGTACGCTGGGAAGGATGATGCGGGGGCCCTGGATGCCTACCTCCATGCCTACAACCCGGCCTTCTCGGAGTACATTTGGGCGGTGGATATCAGGAGAAAGGGTGGAGACCTGGGCCAGGACATGCTGGGCGAGGAGCCTTACTCGACGATGTGCTCCATGGCCATGGCGGGTAAGGTCGCATTGGTGGGAGGTGGCCCCAACTGCAGGACGTGGAGCATCCTCAGGTGGTTCCCCAAACCGGGTGGCCCGCCGCCGGTGAGGGGCAGAGCAGAGCAGACCTTGTGGGGCTTAGAGGACTTGGAGCCCCGGGTTAGGGAGGACACGGACAATGACAGCGTGCTCATGCTCCGACAGATGTACCTGACCTCGCTGGCCTACAAGGGGCTAGGTCAGCTAACGGTCCCGCAGGTTGGCTCCTCCTTCCTGGAGCACCCGATGGACCCGATGGAGTGCAGCAAGAGCCCGAGCGCAGCGAGGTGCTCATCGATCTGGGTCACGCGGGCCTACGTTCAATGGGCGAGTGCACTCCACCACTCCCTCATCAAGTTCGATGAGTGCCGCCTGGGCCAGGTGGTTGTGAAGTCCACGGCGTTGTCAACGGACCTTCCTCTCCACCATTGGCATGACCTGCGTTGCAACCACGGGTCTCACCCCAGGGGAGAAGAGCTCAACTCCAGTGACCTCAGCCGGTACCCGGAGCAGATGATGCGGGTCTCGCAGCGGCCATCCTTTGCCGAGCGGACCCGTCCTGGAGGCGCTGAGGCCGGGAGGCATGGAGCCCCAGGCTAACCCAACGACCCCCCCGAGGCGTCCAAGGGAACCTTCTCCCAGCACGCCGGGGGACAACAAGCGCCAGTCCCGAAGGCTGAAGGCGGGCCAACAAGCGTTGGCAGGTCTGACCTTGAACTCACTTCCGGTCTCGGCCTCGGATAATCCAGAGGCGGGGACATCGACACAGAGGACTGGCGAGGTGGATGAACTTGGGGGGGGAACTCTTCCCCTGGATCCATGGGCGCACCAGGGCATGGAGATCTCGGATCGGCCCACCATCCTGCCGATCACGCACGACCCCAATATCTCCGACAAGGTCATGTACCTGCAGATGGCTTTCAAGCAGCGTCCCGTAAGAGACGGTGGAGGCAAGCCCTCATTGGGACGGTTGGCCCCGTGGGCCCGACCGCTGTCCAAAGCAGCAGCGCTGGGGGCCAAGATCTGTGTCCTCACTTCGCCGTGGGGGGACAAGCTCCAGGAGTCGCTCTCGTTGGGGGATGGGTCACATCCCTTCCCGGAGGACCTGCTGGAGGACATCAGGGAGATTCTGCGCCGGGGGCAGGCCGACCAGCGGACGGCCCTTCTTCCTGGACATCTTGCACAGCGTGGCGCTGAACATTCAGGACCCCGACCACCAGTTTCCCCGGGACCTGGAGCAAGGGGTCCCACTGGGGGTCACGGACCCACCCCTGACCTCGCCGGGCATCTGGCCATCAAGAAGGAGCTGAAAGGGGAGGAGCCGGAGTTCCAGAACTCCCCCACCCAACGGGCAGGGGCAACTACCCCTCGGCGGATCACTTCAGCGATCTCATCCGGGGCACATTTCTGGAGGAGGTCCCCATGGGCATGGTGGAGGGCCCCTTCAGTAAGGAGGAGGCAGCATCGCGATGTGGCTGCGACAGCGAGGACCTTTGTCCCGGCCCCCTAGCGGGCATCGACGAGGGGGACAAGATCCGCACGATCTACGATGGCTCGGTGGGAGGGGCCAATGACACCATCAGGAACCAGACGGTGGAAAGGACGACGGCTCCGACGGTGCTGGATGGGGTTCAAGCTCTCCATTGGCTACATGCGGCAGCTGCGGAGGGACCCCCCTCTCAGGGTGCCTCTGGCCCCGAGGGGGGGACTGTCAAACCTCCACCTGGGGGCTGGCTATGGCCGGAGCCGGGCACCAGGTGGGTGCTGCTCAAGGCGGACGTCACCAAGGCCCACCGGAGAGTGAAGGTCCTCAGGAAGGACTGGCGGTTCCAGGTGGCCTCACTGGGGGAAGAATGGTGGGTGAACAAGGTAGGCACATATGGCATGGCCAGTGCCCAATCCTACTGGGGACGCCTGGCAGCCCTTCTGCTCAGGGTCCTCTACGCACTTTTCCCTCAAGTGGATTGGAACTTCGTCTTCGTCGACGACTTCCTGTGGCTGCTTCGAAGCGAGGGGGCAGTGAACTTGGCGGTGGCGCTGCTGGCCACACTCCTGGCATTGGGCACCCCACTTAGCTGGAAGAAGACGCACTTGGCGGAGGTTAACACATGGCTGGGCTTCGTGGTCCACCCGAACATCCCGCAGGTTCTCATGGCAGCCAACAAACACATCCTGGTCATGGAGGTTTTGCAGACCATGGTGGAAGGGCAGGCGATGCACTCAAAGGACATCGAGAAGGCCCTGGGCCGCATCCAATGGGCAACGGCTGCATGTCCGCTGGCGAAGTCGATGCTCCAGCCACTTTGGGCCTGGAAGATGGCCACCACCACGGTGGGGAAACCCCCCAAGGTGGTCAGGATGCTGGCGTTCATGCTGCGGTTCCTCTTCAACACGCCTTTCGTCCAGTACTCCCCCTACTTGCCAAAGTCCTCTTGGTGGGGTTGCAGCGACGCTAGCGCCTCGGACGACGGACTGGCATTTGTGGGAGGTTGGTGCTCCAACACAGTGGAACCGGACAAGAAGGAGGTGTACTGGTTCCATGAGCAGATCCACGTGGAGGAGTACCCTTGGGCTTTCAAGAATGGGGATCCAAAGCGGAGGATTGCAGCTCTGGAGATGCTGGGCACGCTCTTCCTCTGTAACATGATCCTCACGCACCAAGGCCCTCTGTCCTCCCGGGTCCGACTCCCGGTGGGCAGTGACAATCAGGGCAACGTCATGGCGATGCTCAACCTTGGATCCAAGAAGCCCTACACGGCGGCGATCCTGATGGAGCTGGTCTTCCTGCTCCACACCCATGTCAATGGGCTGATGAGCTGACGCACCCGGATTTCTCTGGGTTCGACCCTTTACAAAGGGTCCCCAAGCAGGAACTCTGTGAGGAGTGTAGTAAGTTTGTAAAAGGGTGGTCTGCCCTCCACCCTTGGCTACATGGCAACAGGGATAGAGGGATTCCCTCCCTTGCAAAACACATCCCTGGCACTCACGCAGATGTTGTTTTTCCTCTTTATTTTATTTTTTTCCTTGCTGAAGCTTTCGGAGACACACATGAAAATGGGCATGATTTGGAGTTCTCCTGGGCTTATCAAGGGTGTTTAGCCCTTGTTATGGAATTCCACCATAGCAAGGCTTCGAAAAGCATAGGAAATCAAAGTGAGACTGCGAGCCCCTGTGTTGCGCAAAGCAGCAAATTAGGGGCGGGGTGGATTTGCCTGGGGTTTCCTTGAAAGACATGTTGTATTTCAGGGCAGACTAAACTTTGAACTGAATCAATCATCAAAGGAAGTCCTTTTGGCTTCAGGTTCTTCAGCTTGCAGAATCTTGTGAAGCCCATGCGGGCGACCTTCAAACACTTGGTGCGTATTTCCCTATCTTGCCACTTTCGTGGGCTGGGGAGAGAGTGAGAGACAGCGAGAGATAGAGAGCAAGAGAAAGGGACAATAAAAAGGGAAAGAAAAAGAGAAACAAAGATAAAGAGAGCGGGAGGCACATAGACAGCGAAGGGCAAACGAAGCGTGCTCCAATCTATACGTAGTTCTTATATGTTGCACCCCCCCGGCTCCGCAGGAAACACTGGCAAAGTCATAGTATGTCTTGGTGTATCCCAAGAGTTGCGCCGCCGAGTTTGTGCCGTCGGGTGCAGGTTGCTCCGCTTGCGAAAAATGGAGGACTTAGCGTGTGTCGAGCCGCATCCAGATAGCGCATGCTTCGGCTTTTCTTGATGTGAGATTGCGTCAATGTAAGGAGCGCCCCAAATGGTGTGTCCTTTTGGTTTCCTTTTCGAATTAATCAAATCATGTGGGGGTCCCAGGAAAGACACACCCATATGAAGCATGTTTCATCAGGCGCCATATTTCCAGCGCTATCTCATGGACATATCTATAGCAACGCTACTTGTTTCAAGGGGGTCCTGGTTTCGACGCATGCTCAAACAATAGTGGCCACAGTCCATATGGCGACTTCGACTTTCCCTATATATGTTTTTACTCAGGTTATGGGAGGGGGTATTTGCTACTTATGTGTGAGGCTCACTCCCACTTCCAAGAATGCTTTCAACTTCCCACATTTCCCACATTTGTATACCCCTTGTGCTCTTTGGCAGAGCCCTTGGCAGGCACGTGGATGCAGTGAACTGAGAAAAGGCTTGTTGGTTTAAGGCAGTACCATATATATATATATATACACACACATGGGTGTCTTTTAGAATACGGAACCCAACAAATGAAGTGTTGTCGTTCAGCTTCCCAACCCAAGAAAGGGTATACTGTTTCTGTTGCAGTGAACATGGCGGGAAGAGTTGGTTGCTGTGCGGCACGTTTCATTTTGAGACGTTTGTGTCGAGCAAATATTTATGCATTGCTGCCTTCTTTTTTTTTTCTTCTTCAGGACATCGCCTGGACTGAGATGGATGACTGGTGTGACTCGACCATCGTGAATCAGGCCAGCTGCCTTGCCGTTCCGTGTTTTCGATGGGTCGACTTGCATGCTTGATGCAGGCAACGCATTCCAGATATTGTCTTGCGAAAATAGATATGGCTGGTTGTTGATGGATCAGTGGACGCGATTTGAGCAACTGCCTTTGCTTGCAGAAGATTACAGAAAGGGCGTGGCGGCCACATGTTTAGGGTAGCATACTCAATTGAGTGCAGACCGAGGCAAGAACACCCCAACAACGAGGTCATGGCATATAGGGGGTCGAGATCACAAGACACATGCGGCGTTGGAAAGCGAGGTCAATGAGTCCAAGCGGGCGCAGGGTTGGAGATCAAGTTGGGAACGCCCGACCATTCAACATTGTAGCAAATAGTTGCCCAAATCCCAACCCCTTTTAAAATGGAATTGGGGGAGCGGGGTGCCACTTATGGTTCCATTTCCTTTTTGATGAAGAAGACAGGATAAATGGAATTGGGGGCGACTTCCAACTCCCCCTCCCGCTCAAGGAAGGGGTTCTGCCATATTTGAAGTTACATAGAACTTCCAAAGACTGAGATGGTCAGGATATTACCAGGCAACGCCAGGCAACCTTTTTGGTGAGACCTAGCGACGAAGGATGCCACGCGTGAACGCAGTCGGAAGAAGCCAAAGGCCCTTCTCCTCCGCCGCAACCCAGGAAAGGCTCTTGGAACCTTCTTGGAAGGGTTCTTAGTAGGCTTCTTGAAAACAATCCTGCGTGTAAGGGGGCCAAATGACTAGCCGGAATAGAGGAGCAGCTGGGTGCCAAAAGTCCTATATTTGTTGACTTCTCGAAATATGACCAAAAGAGAAGTTGATATTTTGCACATTTCCAGACAACCCTATTGGCGCCCAAATAGGTGGTGATGCCACTCATTTCCTGAAGTGTTCAATCGTAACCACTTGCATTTTTGATTTGTGATTCGCTGACTAGCTTTGCCGTAAGACCCGGGTGTTAAGGCCTTACTGGTGCAGTTCGGGGAGGTGGTGATTGAATCCCATCTGGGTAAGTTATAAGCAAGCTCACCTGGGAGTACAGAGCGCGCACCCATGATGAAGCTCCCTTGTGAGTCGGACTGGGGTCTCCAAAAGAATGAATCAGAATCATTTAAATCTCTGTAGTTGTTTGTGTGCCGTGGAGGGACAACTGGCTCACCTGTCAACCCGCTGGTGCTCAGCAGGGAACGAGGGAATGAACCCAGGGGTCCCCTTAAAAGTGATACAGGCACCAGATTGATCGATGGTTTCCTCTCGGATCATTCCATTTCTGATTCCCAGCATCTCTCGCACCAGCAAAATGATGAGACCCCCTCTCCTTTCACCGGCGCTTCCGAGGCCCGCAGCGTCACGAAGCTGAAAGCCCTGCTTTTCATGGGCCAGGACTCAGACTGCCGCTTTGGGATGGGTTGGTCAAAGAGAAGCCCAAGGGTTCAACCCATGTTTGGGGTTGATTCGTTAAAGGGAAACCGAAAGAAATCAGCCTTTTTCAGGGTCTTAATTGTCCCAAAACCTTTGGCGGAGTAGAGGTGTGCAACCAACAGAAGCCCACAGTTTCAGAACCTGGCTTTGTTCGTGCATCCACTTTAGGCAAAAAGTCTACTGTCAGCCAGAAACCAAAAGGATTGAACATGCACTCCTAAACGTGAAGTTGGCTTCCCATCCAAAAAACAATACCGTCCTATTGTGCCGTGCAGGCTCCAACTGGTTTCCTGAGAAGAGCAACAATAAGTCGGTGATTGCAACGCGGCCATCACTTCGGGGGTAAGCCGGGCGATGTACCCCAGGTTGAAGGGTCCTTGCTTGGGATGTCCTTGGTTTAGGTTCTTGAACTGCAGTCATTTGCCCGCATGGGCTTAAAGAACATGTAGCTTTGGCTGTTTACTTATGAGCCACCGAAACGTAGAAATCAAGACCCAGAGAATTGAATGACCTTTTCCTCCACTGGGGCAAGGTGAGCATGGCTTGGTAAGAAGTGAGGCTCGCCCTTCTGTGCCTGGAGCACGCCATAGGGATCCCAGGCCCAGATCCCAGTGGCAAGCCGCTAACCCTTCGCCATTTCCCTTGAGGTTTCAGAAAGGGTTCCCTCAACGGCCAAAGTGGAGTCACTTAGGGGTAGACAAACCAAGAGAGAAAGCCTACCTATAGCGGTGATTCGCCTGGACCCACTAGTGCACTTGTTCAAACATACCAGACCCCGCAAGAACCATACCCGTATACAAAGACAAGAAGATCAGTGGTAGATGGCCGTGACTAACGTGTAAGGGCTATGTTTCTGCCTTTTGTTGGTTGGTCTGCGGCGAAAAAAATAGTTGACCCCCCAAACCTCTCTCAAGCGTATTTGCTTTTGGGTCTGAGGGGCTCAATTCGCAAAATGGTGAACTACCTGTCCCAGATCCGCCACTGTCAACCCTCCCAGTTTCCGATCTTGTCCAGGTGGATGCCTTGGTTACCAAGGCATCACTGGCATCACTGGCATCACTGGGCTGAAGTTGGTCCAGAATCCTGTGTGGATGGACGAAATCCTCTTAGGCACCACCTCAGAAACCCCGAAATGACGATTCCCCTGTAAGTACCAACAAACAATGGCTTCCCATTGTTTTCAAGCCGTGTGAACGGATTTTGTGGAACCACCGTATTTTCATCGGAACCCGCACCTCTTCCGGATTGGGTTGTTGTTGCACAAGGAGCCATTGGAGCTCATCAACAAGACTCACCGGGAGGAGAGCTTCTTCCTGCAGGATGTCCAGGACATGTGGGGAAAGGGGGGGCTCTTTTGGGGCCTTCGGTAAGAGTCCGGTAGATCCACTTGCCCCTGAAAATCAGGATTTCGACAAGGAATTCGACTTTTCCTGGATTCGCTGCATATGGGTCCTTCGATACCTAAGGATACACTTTTGGTGAAAATTGGTCTTAGCACGTCTTCCAAAGAGGCTGGGAAGTTGTGTGGGCACAAAGGGTTCCGTTCGCTCCCTCCGTTTTTGTTTTTCAAAGGAAATGGGGTTCCGTTTGCTGTTGCAGTTATAGTCCAGCAACAAAATACGCTCCCTGTTTTCTCCATGCGAAACTCGTGGGCGACTGGTTGATTACAGAAGTACGAATCATTAGGGCCCACATGGATCGTTTAATTTCCTTATGTCTCCTCCAGGTTGTTCTTTTTGTCTAGAGTCCATAGCTACAACATGTTCTGGACATGGGCAGCTGTTGGCGCAAGGTGGTATTCCACATGGAGTGAACAGTCGAGCACAGACCCCCTAGGATCGGCTTTGTTGCAAAGAACGCACCTTCATTGGGGCTGAGCTGAGCTGTTTTTGGAAGCAGGTGCCGATCATGATTAATCATTGCAATGGATCCCCGTTTCCAGTATAGTATCAGGTATCCCCTAATTGGCGGTTTAGATTGGGGGTGTGGGGAGTTGAACCCCTGGTTCTTGTCGAGGGTCAATGGGAAACTACCCTCGGAACACCTCCAAACCACCAATCCGAACCACCCAGGAAGCTGATAGTAACCCTTCGCCATGTTCCAAAGGGTGGCTCCGTTGGTTATGGGAACTGGAATCGCTGCTCGACGCCCCCCAGTGCCCCGTTGTTTGTGGACGGGTCAGGCAATTGGAGGGCGGCGCTTTTTTCAACATCAACCAGCCCAACAAGGGTACCAACTAGCTGATTTTAGCCTAGGGCCACTGAGAGCATATGTCACATGTGGTTTAGAGGTTACCACTTTATGCCCTTGGGGAATTCGCGTAAAGTGAGCTCCAGGATCTCCATTGAATTTGCTTTGTATCTCACTCCCTAATTCTGCACTAGAACCACCAACACATAGTTTAGGGGTTGGAGGGAACAACAAGAGACACAACTAATGTTGACTCCATATTAATTAGTCAGCCCCAATATATTAGTAGCGGAACATGTTCCCCTACAACAGTGATGAGTCTCCCCTAAATCCAGGGACGTCCCCTATGAATAAACTGGGGTTGATCAATATGGGTATGGGTCAAAATTAAACCACCAGGGGACCGCATCTTTCCATTTAACAGGGTTCCATTGTGGTACCTATTTTTGACCCACAGCCATATGGGATCAACATTTTGTGGACGGGAATCCGCGTTTGGTTATGAGAGCTTCAGGCTATGTGCAACTCTGCACAGGATCTCTGCGCTGCGCGGTCCGAGGTCTTCAGAAAGGTCAGGGATACCGACCTCCCACGTCTGATGCAGGCGAACAAGAGGGATAGAGAGAGAGGGAGAGCGCCGATACTGGGTCAACTTTTGGGACCCATCCATTTGCTCAAGAATACATGTTATTCGCCTTGTTGGTCTTGGAAGAATCTATTACTGCTTGAAGCAGCTTTTTTGGCGGAACTTAGGCAAACGAAGGAACCATCTTACATCTTGGCCCTTGACTAGAAGCAATTCAACTATGTCAATCCTGGGTTTAGGGTTGAACGTTGGCAAAGGAGAGCGATTGACACAGTCTCCCTCGAAGCTTTCTTTGTTATCGGATCCTATGTTCAGGTTGTTATACAGCACTCTCTTGCTGGGAACTGAGCCCTTTTTGCTTTAGTATCACAGTCGGTTTATTGTCCTTTACGCAGAGCGCACCGTAGACCATTGAATTCATTGGCAAGCTATGGGTGCGCTGCAGGTGATTCAGAATATGGACATCACAGGGGCAGTTCTCAGTGAGGGTCTACCTCTTTGTACCCCAGGGTATTTTGACGCGAAGCTCCAGGAAAACCATTTCAGGGGCAGAAGCCATGCGACCGGGAGCGGCCCAACCCACGTCAAGCGGTTGGTTGGCCAGAGTCGCACCGCCATTCTGAGGCAGCGGCATGGTTGCCATATTCCCCACGGGTGTTTAAAGCCAAGAATAAATCGAGGGCCTGAGGGGGAACTACAAAACGATGGACCCCTGCCAGATTCCAGACACCGGTTGTTCGAGCAAGAAAAGAGCCAGCATTTTCCAAGAATGCCAGGTAGCATTCCAAGCCATGCTTCTGGACAATGGTTTATCGAGCTCACATGGGGGAAAGGCGAGCCATGATGAAAGTGTTTTCCTGGGTTTATGTATCTGTTCCCGTTTTCCGATTTGGGATTTGTAGTAATTTGCTCAGGCAGAGTGTTTGTTTGCCTGGTCTTGCGAATTATTTCATGAGCTGTGGTTTGTTTCCACCCGCACCTTCCCCATTTTGTGTAGTCGCAGTCGGTTCTCTTCAGGCAATTTGTTCACAAGCTACAAGAGTTGATCGATTCCTGTAGGTTGCTTCGGACTTATGTAAGGTGGACGTTCTGTTCTGGTAAATGATGTTAGACTCACGTCAGTATCTTGGTTGTGAAACTGGACTCTTTCGGTAAGTTCCATCTAGGATATGTCCATCCCTTACCACTTTTGAAGCTTTGGCGGAAATGCCCAGCGGCATGAAGAAGAAGCTTGGTGCGCTTGGCTTGCGGCCGATTCCTCGCTGCCAGGTTCCCCTGGAGGCGAATGCTGGAGAGGCGGGGAGGGAGAGGCTCAGTGAACCTTTTGTTTGGGATACACCCGGTTGCTTGGTTAGTTTGGTTGGCTGGTTGGATTGGTTGGTTTGGTTGTCTGGTTGGATTGGTTGGTTTGGTTGACTGATCAAATTGGTTGGTTTGATTGGCTGGTTGGATTGGTTGGATTGGTTGGTTTGGTTGGCTGGTTAGATTTGTTGGTTTGGTTGGCTGGTTGGATTGGTTGGTTTGGTTGGCTGGTTGGATTTGTTGGTTTGGTTGGCTGGTTGGATTGGTTGGTTTGGTTGGCTGGTTGGATAGGTTAGTTTGGTTGGCTGGTTGGATTGGTTGGTTTGGTTGGCTGGTTACTTGGTTGGTGTGGTTGGCCCGTTGCTTGCTTGGTTGGGTTTGGCTGGCTGGCTGGGTGGCTGGCTTGCTGTTTGGCTGGCTGGCCAGTGGGTTGGTTGCTTGGTTTTGGGCTGTTGCACTTTTAGACATAATCACTTGCACTTGGGATTGTTCGGCTTGGTCATTCGAATTTGTAGAGGTGTAGGAATTGTTGCTTTCACTTCATTGGAAGCCTGATCGAATTAAGCTTTCTTTTGCTGAGGTGATTTAGATTGATTTAGCTTTTGAAAATGGGCGGTCATACTTTCTAGTCGACCTTGTGGTGGAACAATTTTAGATTGGCTTAAAGAGATGATGGTAGCTTGGTTGCGCGTTAGAACGACCTTGTACGACCGTTGACCTTTTGACTAATGACTGTTACCCACTAGCAGCAAAAATCGTCAGTTTGGAGGGGGGCCCGGTTTGATCCGGGTAGAATCTGAACTCTTTGAGGCTTTCCTGCATTCCCGCATGCATCGGGGACGCTCGAGACAAATACAACAAAGGATGACCTGTTTGATTTCTGATCCTATTGGGTGTTTGCCTTTGCAGCCCCCAGCTTGATGACCATCCCACGGACGCATATCCCCAGTGTAAAAGTCCCCTAAGTGGGGTTGAAGCCACATTTAGCCCACGACTGAGGGGACTTATTAATTGGGTATACGCTGCAAAAGAGAAAAGTTTGCCCTCTTGGTTCAGCGCAGCAATGATCATACGTACCATTTCCCCCTAGAATCCTGCAAGTAAAAGACGAGCACATTTAGTTATTTGGGGTAGTCAATTCAATACCTGCAATCCTTAAACTTATTCAGGGTGTGCCCGTGCCGCGCCTGCCAC